GCTTGGAACAGGCCTCAGCATTGCCCCTGGAATCCGGCTCCTCCTCCAGGAGGAGGAGCATCCTGGGCTTTCTCTGGACCCCTGCCCCTTTGGTTGTCACATGATCTGGATAACTGGCAGGCACAGGGTAAGCCACTGACGTCTTATGCTAGTTTGGGAAATAAACTTTTTTTTCCCCCCAAATAGGCATTTTACTAACCTTACAAAGGTAGTTTTCTAAAAATGAAAAGTTGTTCTATGGTTGTAAAACTTGAAATTTATGGAGGTCAACTGGAATTGGAATCGTGTTTTCTTAGCCTGATATTTAGTGAGAAAATATGGAGGAAGACTGTCACCAAAGTGCTGATTATGTGTCCAGAGCTTGCTCCAGGAGGCGCACAGCCAGAGACCAAGCGCCCAGGGCGGCCCCCGCCATACTCAGGGCAGGGCAGCTGAGCGGCAGGACCGGAGTGGCAGAGTCAGCCCCAGGAGTGAGCAGAGCTGCCTCCCGGTGCTAAGGGCTCAAAATCTGCTTTTAGGGTCGCGACTCCTGTTTTTCTTTATACAACTCTTTGCTCTTTGTATCTCTGTGTCTAATAGGCATGTCCCAGGTTTACGCAGTGGCAATGACGATACCATAGACAGTTTGTCACCACATCTCGCTGACTTCATCCGCCCAGTGGGATGTGGACTGTGCTCATGAGATGAGTCTCTTGCTGACATTCTAGCAAGATGGTGATCTGGGGCTGGAAGAGCAGCTTGGAGCCTCTGGCCGCTGGTCCAAAGCTTGCTTTAAGTCCTCCTGTGGCCGTCAGGGGTGCTGGGTTTGTTGTCTCTGCTCAGCAAAGAACTGAAGAGCAGGACACAGAGCAGAGGTGACAGAGACACAGAGACTTCTCCGCAGAGAGGGCCCCAGGGCTGGGAATCCAGGGGAGCTTTGGTCTATTTATGGTCTCTGGAATTCCCTCCTTTCCTGTCTCCTCCCCCGTCCATGTGCTCCTCGCTGTTACTGATTGGTGTCCCCTCTGTCCACTTGGCTGTTCTGGTTTCTGCTGGATCCCCCACACAGAGCACGGGTACAGAAGGGTCTGTCTGCCTGGGTCCCCGCTTGTGTCCACAAGTGCTTTCACCAAGCAGGAAGTTGACCTCACCAGGGGACCCTCTGCATGCCCCTCCTTCCTGAATCCACCCACCCTCCCTCACCATCTTTCCCTGGCTGCCTACGCCCTTCCCCGCCTCCCCGTCCCCCCCTGATGTCTGTACCATGTGCTGTCCATTCACATCCTAATTCTCCAGCCGCGAGACCTCACTGGAGAGTCTGACTTTTTATTCACTCTCAGTACACAGAGCCCTCTTCTACCAGAGAGAAAGTCGCTCTTTGATTCCACCATCAATTCCAAGTAGCATCTCAACTTCTCTTTCTCTGCTGTGGTGTGTTTGGCAGATGGGAGATCCTTACTGGTCAGCTTCTCCTGGACATGTCCAGAGGCTCCTTCTGACATCTGGTGTGCTGAAAGGGCCTTGCAGGTGAGGGCTGGTTCGGTGGGAAGAGCTAGGCTGGAGCAGCTCCCCACCCTCAGCCCAGTTGTTCCTGAGAGTGGCCTGGCCGAGTGGTCCCTACAGAAGACAGGCGGGCTGGGCTGGTGAGGGGACCGGACCGCGGCGTGAGCTGCTTCTGCCTGGCCTGGGTTCCGGGTTGTACTGATGGGTGTGAAGATCCCGGCCTTCTCTGCGGCTCCTCCCAGAAGAAAGCAAGGTTGCATTCTCTAGTTAGCTCGATTCCCCACCAGAACCAGGTCGTCAGACAGAATCCCACAGGGCGGCCGTCTTCATGGCTCAAGGTGCCTACAGGACTTCAGGGCGTCTTCTGACTCTGCTGCAATATCTTTGATACTTTATAAGATGCTCAGAAGACTTTAAGAGGCTGTGACTTAATGAGTCCTATTTTGCTCATGGGGATCCTGCAAAGATGACATAAAATCCTCAGAAGGGTCATTTCAAGAATTTTCCAGAACCACTTCCATAGATACAGTATGTCCTTGGATGGAGCACAGAAAGTATTTTGTGGCCAGATAATCACACTGTAAATTCTGTGCACTCATAAAAATTCTGACCAAGTGCCAAGCAAACACTACAGTGAGCCATGAGTGTCGAGAGACGTCTGCTGGAAGAGAAGTTGCACCCTCATCACCTGGTGCGCCATTCCACTTAGCTATGTACTGACAGCACAGAGGACTTCCTTCCACAGGGAGGACTTCCTTCCACGGAGAGGACTTCCTTCCACAGAGGACTTCCTTCCACAGAGAGGACTTCCTATCACAGAGAGGACTTCCTTCCACAGGGAGGACTTCCTTTCACAGAGAGAACTTCCTTCCACAGGGAGGACTTACTATCACAGAGAGGACTTCCTTCCACAGGGAGGACTTCTTTCCACGGAGAGGACTTCCTTTCACGGAGAGAACTTCCTTCCACAGGGAGGACTTCCTTCCATGTAGAGGACTTCCTTCCACAGAGAGGACTACCTTACACCGAGAGGACTTTCTTCCACATGGAGGACTTAGAGGAGATAATTCCACAGGGAGGATTTCCTTCCACAGGGAGGACTTTCTTCCACATGGAGGACTTAGAGGAGATAATTCCACAGGGAGGACTACCTTCTACAGGGAGGACTTAATTCCACAGAAGGACTTCCTTCCACAGGGAGGACTTCCTTCCAGGGAGAGGACTTCCACAGAGCAGTGATCTGTTGCCTGCAAAAACATAGAGTTCAACCCATCTTCCTTAGTTTCTTCACATGGTCTTAAAGTAACTTCTATAGCAATTTGGAAAGACAGTTCTGTGGAATTGTCTTTTTTATTTCTTGCCTGTTTCCCAGTCACCGTTGGGCAGTGCCTCTTCAAGACAGCCACGTAACTCGTGGTAGATTTCTCTGTTTATGTGTCTGTGCATTTGCTGAGCTGTAGTCACACTCAAATGTGCAGAAACAGGAAACTTACATTTTTTTCCTTCTTTTCTTGTTACAAACCAGTTTTAAGCACCAACTTTGAGATTTGAGCGATCCCTTTTCTCTGCGGCCACCCTTCAGCAGTCGGTCTGGAGAGACCCCGGTGTGGTTCCGTCTTCCTCAGCCACGCCTGCCAGCGGAGGCCACTGCAAGGGAATCACTGTGGCACTTTCTGAAGAGAAGCCTAAGGGGAAATACGAAGACTTTCTTGTTCTCTTCCAGTGAATACACACAAATCATATGTTTTGAAAATCTAATGACGACATTTGGGGATACAGGTAGTAGATGGTAATCATAAAATCATCCATGTGGTCACGCCATTGTAAGGGGAACCACTGGTGACGGCAGAGTCTGGGTCTGCTCTACCTTTGGACACCCTAACTATGATCTGCATCTCAGAACAAGTTGCGTGCCTTGTCTACACAGGTATTATGTTAGCATTAGAAAAATAAAAATCATGACAGTGTGTTGAGAGCCACAGCCAGTCGGAATGGCCCCTGGCATTTTGCCAGAAGTAATGGTTGCGAGGGGAGCCGTTAAGACGAGGCTGGATGGAAACAGGCTGTGTATTCGATTGTACGTAGACCCCTGCTGTCCGCCTCCGGTGCCTGCTAGTTTGGAGTTCTTGTGGGGATTCCTAGGGAGTTCCCGTTGGTTGGTGAAGTTCCGGTGGAGGGAGTTCCAGTTGGTGTGTGGTGTCCCTGAAGGGCCGCGTGGGTGGCGTTCGGGGGAGTTCGGAAATGAAGTTTGTTCCTGCTTGAGTGGCTCGTGATTTGTGCCCAGCCAGACTGCGGCAACAGTGAACATTGGTGGAACATGATCCATATGCCACAGCTTGCCTCCGTGGTCTCCCTGAGCCTCAGGACAGTCCCCTGTGTCCCGTGTGACAGTCACCTGTGTCGGGGTGTCCATGTGGTGCACTGCATCTGCTGCCTCTGACTGGGCGGGGCTGGAGCGAGGGCCCTGCAGCAGCTTCCTGTGTGACCACGCTCACACTGGTACAACCTGGGACTGGAGTCGGCGGCGCCTCTTCCTGCGGGTGTAAAGCACAGGCTATGGAAGACCCTTCCCGTCTGGGAGAGAGATGCTGGCCGCCCTGGGCCACTGCACCTTGCCAGTGTGTCTTTCAGCCTGAGTGGAGACTTCTGGCTATTCTGTGGTGATCCTGCTGTGGCCACAATCAGTCAGGGTGGGCCTTGGTCCCTAGATGCCCGCTGGCTGGAGCTCAGGGGTGGGCCAGTCAGGAGCACACATGTGTGTGGTGGCAAACACAGGGATGCAGGTCAGACGAGTTAAACCCAGGAGGAGCTGGCTGCGCTGGAGGTGGGCTGAGCCTTTGCACACTGAACGCAGGCCTCGGGGACTTTACCTGTCCTTGTTTAACGCCTGTGTGAGTTTTAGAACTCTCGTGGCTCATGCCGGGCACACAGGACTAAGCACAGGTTCCCGACACCACTGCTGTCTACTGACCACCGGTGACATGGCTATTTAAGGAGCACCACAGTTGAGCTGCATTATTCAGGGGTGACCACATTGTGAACATTGAGAACCTGTCCTCCTGAGGCTGGACCTCAAGGGGGCTCTGGGGGAAAAGTGGATAATTTCTGATACCTCAGGGAGCTCTGAACCCTGAAGAATGGCATGCTGGGAATATGGGCAGTCCCCTAGGGTGGACCCCACCCCAAGCTGCGGACACTTGGCAGCCTCCAGGCTGTGGCTGAGGCCTGGAGAGATCCGGGTCCCTCCTCAGTCCTGGCCTCCCATGCACCGGGGAGGACGTGGCATTGTTCACTCAGGACATGTGTCAAGGCAGCGGTGCTGCCTGGGGGCTTCCCTGTCCACTGCTGCAGATCAGGGGCCACACCCTCTGCTGCTCAGCCTCCTCTGGGTCCCCTGGCATGTCCACAGCCCTCTCTGAGCCCCGCTTCCTGCCCTTCCAGCTGTGCCTGGGGGCCAGCTCTGGTCTGGCCGGCTCCTCAGCCCTGCTCACCATCTCTCCCTTGCTTCTCCTCCGCAGTGTCCTCCTGTGACCAGGAGCACCAGTCCGCCCTGGAGGAAGCCAGGCAGCCCAAGAATGACAACGTGGTGATCCCTGAGTGTGCCCACGGGGGCCTCTACAAGCCAGTTCAGTGCCACCCCTCCACGGGGTACTGCTGGTGTGTGCTGGTGGACACAGGGCGCCCCATTCCTGGCACATCCACCAGGTAAAGCACGGTCCCGGGCCATGGGCGGTAGGTAAGGCGCTGGGTATGGAAACCAGGAGGGCAGGGCCACCTCGGCACATGCCATGGGCATGGCACCTGTTAGACCTGGGCCTCACACCCTGAGGGTCCATCTGTCCTCTGCTTGGGCTTTGGTTAGGAATGTGTGGTGTCTGCCATCAGACAGTGGGGGAGAGTGTGTGTCCTGAGCTCAGCCGAGGCCCAGCAGGGCAGCCCTGAAAGCTCATGTCGCATCAGTGTGCCTCGGCCAGCACGCGGGCCACAGCCCAGAGCAAGTGCCACTTCCGCTCACCCCTTGTGCCTGCAGAGGAGGCCAGACGTGTAGGGTGCCAAGGGGACCGGCGCCCAGGGGGCCTGCTGGGGTGTAAGGATTCTCGAATCCCAAGTCCTCACTTTACAGAAAGTGGGAATATGGGAAAGCAGGAGCGATAACAGGAGCCCAGGATCTGATGCAAGACACTAGAGCCTCACTCCTGGTCCAGGTGCAAAGCGCCTCCGGCCCCTGAAGGCAGGGCTGCCGGCCAGGGGCTAGCACTGTCCTCTAGCAGCTCTGTCCTGACCATGCCTTCGACTCTCCCTAGATTTATATCAAAATGGTTGACATGATGCACAGGCGTCAGCCTTCCGACACTCCCTAGATCATTCCCCACTTTCTCCAGTGTGAACCCAGGGGAAGGAGAGGGGCTAGCTGGCAGGACCCAGGAGATGGAGGCGCAGGTGACCAGCCAACACCCGCTCTGTTAAGGTTGAGCCCAACCTGGCCACCCTCTGGCCAGGAGTGGTACCAGCTTCCTGGGAGCCCTGCTGGGAAATTGCAGTAACATCATGACATCAGAGCTGACCAGGGGGTCGTCATGCCCTGCCCAGCTGCACGGGACAGACAGCGTGTTCTGATCAGTGCCCGTGGAGCCAGCCAGCTCAGAGCAGATCCCAGCAGGGCCCCAGGGCAGCGATGGGCTGTTGGGAGCGAGTGGGCTCTGCCCGGCTTGGAGACAGCATCCCCCTGTCCAGGGCTTTGGTGTGAGACCACTTCTGTCCCTGTGCATCGGCACCCAGAGAGCAGTTTTCTGGGACCCGGAACAAGTGCTGCATGCTGGGAGCTCTGGCCTGCTCCCCCACTGGGCTGTGCCAGCCGCAGCCCTGGCCCGACCCGCGGCTCTGCAACAGGGAGAAGTGTCCCTGGCAGGCGTTTTCTTAGTGCCGGCCAAGGAAAACCTTCATGCCATCAAAACCAGAGCTGCTCCAACTGGCTCTGGAATCAACAGTGTTCTCCCTAAGGACCCGCGAAGGCTGCTGTGTCCCCATCTGCTCTCCTGACACACCCTCCCCCGGCCACCCTCATCTCTTCCGCCCCCGTCATCCAGCTCAGGACTGATTCGGATTCTGATTCTCCCAGGCACCTGAGGGCGGGGCAACCCCCTCTTCTTCCCCTTTCAGGAGAGGACATCACTTGGGCCAATGAGGGGCTGCTCAGGGGCTGGCTGCAGTCCTGTCCTAACCCTGTCTCCTTCCGCACACAGGGCACCCAGGGTCAGTCCCGGAGGCTCTGGGGGAGGATAGTGCACCATCCTGTGTCCCCTGGGGAAGGGCGGCTGACCTGTCCTGCATCCCACCTCTTCTCAGGAGTTGCCCCCCCTGCTCTGAGCAATGGGGTCTCCCGGCGGCTCTGGCAGTCGATGACACTTGTCTGTGTGCGTGTTCTCCTCTCCACTCTGCGGCTTTCGTCCCTGGCTCAGTCCCTGTCCTGCCTGGGCCTTCGAAAGCCTCCTGTGCAGCCAGGACAGCGGGTTCTGGGGAAGCTTTGCCAGGAGGAAAGCCTCCCCACCTACCTGGTGGGGACAGGGCTTCACCCCAGGGTGGCCCGTCACCGCAATGCCAGGAGGAGGGGTCCCTGCAGGGGTGGCCTGTCACAGGGTGGTCAGGAAGAAGGGGTCCACTGTAGGGG